TTACCTATCAAGCTTTGAATTAAGAAAAATCTTTGCCTATAGTAGATGTAGTTGACTTTGATTAAAATAGTAGAACATTCAAAATAAAAGTTAATAATAGTGAATTCGATGGAAAAAATTACGTGATAAGAGTCATTGGAAGATCTTACTATGGATTTTAATAAATAGAATTCAAATTATTACTAAGTTCTAATTTTGCCTAATAGGCAACCAATGCTGATATTTATGGTGAAAAGATGATAAACCTATCTAAACTTAAGAAGGATTTAACTGCTTCTATTAAATAAATTTCAATAGATGGATTAGTTAAATTATAGTTTTCTAAGGATATGCTGAACTTTAATGATACGAGTTTTCTACATGATAATAAGACTCTAATTATAAGAATTTATCAGAATGATGCAATAACAATAATTACTGATTGGAGAGTAGTTTCATACAAAAACAACATATTAACTATTCAGCTCTATTTTGAGAACCCAAAACTGATATCTTTGAACCAAGTAAGTTAAATTTAAAATAACAAAATTTCAGAAATATGATGATTTGCTGATAACCTTCAATTCTAATTAGTTTTATATATCGAAAAATCTTGATTAAATCATTAAATAAAATTATATAACTCAGAGTAATATCCCCCCACAAAGTTATAATTCAAGTAAGGAATAATTAAAATAATATTTATAGCTGCAATAATAGCACTAGCTGCTATGACTGGAGTTGCTAGCACATCAATAACAGGATCGGCTACAATAAACTTGATTCTATCCATAGTATTAGGTGTCAGTATGAAAAACCTTTGGATGCTTCTGAATACATTATAGATATTAGTTATGATACCCTTGCTATAGCTAACTCTTCCTGCTTAAATAACAATAATGTGCAAAGCCCTAATAGATATTGCTAACCTAAATTTTATTCCTAAGGATACAATTAATGAGTATGTGAGAAAATTTTTATTTAAAACCAAAGGGACTACAAAATAAGGCATAAACTTTATTATAATGGATATCTTTTAACATTTTAAACACTTATGACTTTCAACATATTTCTTATCTAAAATTAAGTTTTGAGACATCTAATGTTTTAGAGAATGTTGGGACAGTATTTATTGTGATTATTATATTAGTAAATTTTGGGCTGATATTACTCGCTGTTCATTCTCTTAAAAAGAAATAAATGATGTAATATAGTTGATTAAGTTAGTTTTCGATATTTAGATTTTAAAGACTATTTTAATTTCTTTACAAGAAGATCTGCTATAATACTTTTTTAAGATCATTAATTAAAGGTTACTTAAATTTTCAAATAGCTGCCAATATTGGATTGTTGAATGTAAAGATATTTTAAGCTCATAATCTTCAAATTTAGGCAAATAATGATGATGTTTTAAATACCATAGTTGCAGCTATTATGTTTCTTAGTTTGCTTATGATTCCTTTTATCATTTTAGTATTCTTAAGAAAGCACCTTTGTAATTATAAAACTGAAATTATATTTCTACTATTAGAAAAGTTGTCTAGACAGGAATTTAAGGACAAATATGGATCTCTTTATCTAAATGTTGAAGGATAGTAGGATTTATATATATTCCTCTTCTTTATAAGAAGGTTTTTGTATGGAGTTGCTATAAACTTCTTTGGATCATATCCTTTTATTCAAGTTTTTATACTATTTTCTTCTAGTTTGGCTGTTTTAATATTCCAATATTGTTACCTTCCATTTGATACGAAAAATCAATAAATTTTTGAGATTTACAATGAAACTACTATACTTTTAGTATCATATTGTTTATTGCCCTACTCTCAAGATAATTTTACTGAAAATACTCTGTAAGAACACAATATTAATTATTGTATGTTGTAGAGAAATAAGGATAAACCTCGGATGGGTAATGGTTGGGATCATAGGCATTAACATTTTATTAAACTAATTGAATCTGGTTGTTTAAATATTCCTTGCCATCTACCTAATGATTAAAAGGAAAATTTTAATGAGAAAGCTAAAAAAGCTGAAGGATTAGCAAGAAAAGAAAAATGCCTTGGATTTGAGATTGAATTTAGTTGAAACTATGAATCTATCAAAGAATATATCTTTTGATTCATAATCTCCATTCACAAGCATTAATTTTGATGATGATGGACTCATAGTCTAAAAGCCAACCAAAGGAATTTAATAAATAAAGTAGAAAGTAATAGATTTTAGCAAGGGAAGAAAAACTTTATAACTAATTAGAGATCTTATAATTCCGAAAACAACAGAATAAGCAAAATAAGAATTTAATTCTATAACAGCATAAGTATCCTCTAACGATAGCTTCCAATCAGTCTAAGATAAGAAATAATTAGCTTATTACTAAGACCCATCATTGCAATAAGGAAAATTTGAGATATTAGATGAATTGATTCATTCTCCTAAAGTTCATTGTAATAATACTGTTAAAAATGGGGGACAATTCTCTAAAACCTAAAATTCATATGATGAATTTGAATATACACATCAAGATTTACTGCATGTTGATTCTAGTAATCAAGTTTAAGATAAATCTTGAGTTCAACATTTATCGATATAGACTTACTGAAACGCTTATGATTTAAGAGAATATGATATGATATGATTTTTAGACAAGATAATCGATTTTCTTAAATGCTGAACTGGTGAAGACTATTTTAATTTTAAAAACCAATATAGTTGTTGAAATGTTTTAATTTCAAAAATTACAATTTAAGTTAATGATTACGTCTTTGCCATAATATTCATAGACTTGGGGTTTTGGGGTTTTGGGG